TTCTCCATCGCTTCCACTTCCAGCCTTTTCTATCCCTGTGCAGCCCACGCTCCCTCCTCCCCTCCTCCCCTCACCGCCTCCCTCTTCCTCCCCCCCTCCCTCCCACTCCGCTCACTCTCCACCCTTAACTTTGGCTACTTTTTTGACTCCACCTGTGTTTTAATTTCCTTTCTTTCCCCCCCTCTGATAGAGACGTTTTAATTGGCTTGCTTGTCTTTTCTATTTATGCCTTTTTCACTTTTGTACCTTTTTCCTATTTCCTGTTCCCCCTTCTCTTTTTTCCTCCCTCCATCCTATGCATCTTTTTTGGGCGATTCTTAAATCTAACCATAGGTAGGTTGACTTAGTGTTTAGTGTCTGTCTCAAAGTCTTTGTTCCTTTTCTGTGTGTGCAAGGTGTTTAGTGTGGGGTGCACATACATTAAACACACACACACACACACACACACACACACACTGACGCGGGCCCTGTAATCTGGCTTTTGGTACACCCATGAATCCCCTCCCCATCCGGCACTCAGCTGATTCTCTCCTCATGCCGTGTCATCTTCTCATCACTCTGCGTTCTCTAATCTGTGTTTTCTCACTTTTTGTTCTCTCCTCGCCCACAGTGACTCATCAAGCACTCGCCTCCTCCAGGCGTCATCCCGGAGAACACATCTTGTCATTTTTTATATGTTGCACAAAAAGTCTGTTTTTTTTTTCTCCATCAAAGTGTCTGAAATACCCCACCCCCCCTCCTCCCCCCCACCACCACGTCCTCCTCACACGTCCCTTTGTCCGCTCACAACAACAAATTCTGAAATAAATTTTGTTCCCGTGGTTCCGAGGTGCGTTCAAGTCTCCTCCTCCTCCTGGTGTTTATGAGGTGAAGGTCAAAGTGAGCAGAGGCCTAACTCAACTCTGTCTGGGTGTCATCTGTGTTTATACACTCGGCCCGTCGCCTTCTCTCGCCCTCTTTTCCTCCCTCTCTCTCTCTCTCTCTCTCTCTCTCTCTCTCTCTCTCTCTCTCTCTCTCTCTCTCTTCTCTCTCTCTCTGTCGCCTATCCTTCTCACTCTCATCTCGCAGACAGACACACACAAGCACTCAAAGAGAATGGACTAGGACTAAAAAAAAAAACCCGCTGAGGATTTTTCTCCCTTTTTTTTCCTCCACCGTCACTTTTTTTCTCCAACTTTGCTTCGAGCTTGAATCTCTTTAATCACCATCCTTTTTTTTTTTAAATCTCTCCATCACCCCTGTCTCTCTCTCTCTCTCTCCCTCTCCCTCTCTTTCTCTCTCTCTCTCTTTCTCTCTCTCCACTTTCTGATTCTCCTTTCCATTTCTTTTCATCTCCTGTCCCACCACTCACACGTCATCTTGCATCAGAGCGGAGTCGCTCCTTATTTTTATTTTTTATTTTTTTTGTATTTCGGTGACGTACTTTTGCACCTCATCTCCTCTTTACTACCTCCATCCCATTTATGGAAATACAAAGGGGTGCAGATTATTCACCAATAATCCTTTGCATTTCAGGAATAGAGCGACAAAGAGTGGCTCCAAAGAATTTAGCTGACTGCAAAGAAACTGAATAATTTCAGTGTGTGAGTGTGTGTGTGTGTGTGTGTGTGTGTGTGTGTGTGTGTGTGTGTGTGTGTGTGTGTGTGTGTGTGTCTGTGTGTGTGTGTGTGAGGCTCAGCTGTAGACAGATGCATAGCAAAGTGAACAAACCACACAACTCATTTCTTTGTCCATCTCCTTTGTTTATATTTCCACCTTTTTCCTGAAGGAGATTTAATGCCTCTCCTCTTCTGAAGAGAATGGGAAGTCTGACTTTTGACCAGCTGCCACCCTGATAAAGGCGCCCTGGATTTAGCTGTTTTCCTGTGGAATTACCCTTTAAGTCCTGGATTCGACCCCCTAGTGAAAACAAAATTAACAGTCGTTTAAAAACTGTCCTTAATTGGGGACTTTCTTTTTGACTTCTTTTTCTAACGGACTGAAGCTGATTTTCAATATTTCTTTTTTCCAACTATTGAATCTTAACGGGATTTCACTGACGCGGATTAAAGACTCCAGCAGCATCTTTGTCTGTTAGTCGATGTGTTAGACGAGATTCTTGCCGCCAAAATCCATTAAAATCAATATTTTCTAATGTTAAGGTTTTCATAGGTGAGTACTTGAATCCACACATGCTTCTTCTCCTGCATGTTTCGGATGATGATTAATTGATGACATTCATCCAAATCTCTTTTTCATAAGGCCGCTACTTCTGCATGCATGTGTGTGTGTGTGTGTGTGTGTGTGTGTGTGTGTGTGTGTGTGTGTGTGTGTGTGTGTGTGTGTGTGTGTGTGTGTGTGTGTGTGTGTGTGTGTGTGTGTGTGTGTGTGTGTGAGGTTTAAGTCGTGATTAAATAGATTTTCCCCGGCGCTCCTCAGCCATTTCACCCTTCATTTCAGCTTTAATTCAGTTCTCATCCGTGTGATTTAAGGTCACATTCTCGCATCTGATCATGTGTGATAATGTCAAAACTGTACAAGTCACCTCCGCCTGATGGAGACTGCACTTCAGCCCCGTCCAATGACCTGCTCAGAGAGTGTGTGTGTGTGTGTGTGTGTGTGTGTGTGTGTGTGTGTGTGTGTGTGTGTGTGTGTGTGTGTGTGTGTGTGTGACATAGTCTGATCAATAAATTAATCTACACAAAGCGACGCAGCACGTTGCCCTTTTCTCGATGCGATTATTTTGATCTGCGGTTATTTCAAACTTCTTCTGACAGAGAGTGTGGGAATCAAACCCCGAGTGTCTGTGTGCAGCAAAATGCACATCAACACACACACACGCATGCAGACCCTTCACCCATCAAATCATCCAATCATCCATCCATCACAGGTGCAGCAGCGATTGACCCCTTTTCTCTGATTAACCTTCCTATCATTCAGCTGACACTACTTTGGATTTATACTGTGTGTGTGTGTTACGGCTACATACCTGTGAAACACACCTGGGACCCGCTCTCATAACCCGGGACCATTAGCCATACTGCTCTCGGCACACATTTGACCCCTGTAGCCCCCCCCCCCCCGCAGATGTGAGCTCAGGTAGTCAGTCACCGCTGCAAAATGGACGCTCTGCCACGCTGCTGTCCGCCGTCTTTTCACTCAAATCAGGTTTTATGAACAGGGGAGACACGCGTTCACTGTAATAATGTTTAAAACTTTCAGAGAGCAGGCTCATCACTAAACCAGGATTTTAAATGTTTATATGATTCTCTTAAAATTCCTTTTTTGATACCTCAGCAAAAAAAAAAAAATAAAATAGAGATCCGAGGCGCCAAATGTTTGGTTATCTCTTGTTTTTAAAATCCTAAATATGCAAACTTCACCAGTCGTCTTAACTGAACACACACGATGGCAATGTTTAGGGTCTAAACTTTGAAAATGCGCTCTCTCTCTCTTTGTCTGATGCAGCTGATGGTTAAAAATATGACTGAAGTTTCTTAAAAGCGTCCGTACTTTCGGATCGAGGATCGATCGTTTTTGAAAGACAGAAGTCTAAAATGTTCCCAACCTGAAGCAGAGGGAGTTTGAAGCAAAATGGACGTCACTGAGGGTCCCAATCTGCAGGAACACTTTAATATAAAACTGATTTAAAGGAGTTTGAAGCAGAAGATGAAGCCTTATGTTTGGGGCTTTTTCCGCCTCCTTTTAGAGACGGGACAGACGCAGGACGAGTCAGGGAGAGAGAGAGGGCGCCTGTAGCTTAGTGGTTATGACACGTCCTCGTCGGGGGTTTTGATTCCGACCTCGGGCCTTTTGCTGCATGTCACCTCAGCCTCCGCACATTGAGGCGTGCGCACAGTCATTAGACCACCGGCGCACCCCCTTTACCGACTCTTTACCGAGACTCTCATGGAGGAAGAGCATCGTGTTGTCAAACCTTTCGACATCATTCAGTACGATAAAATCTGCTTTTAATGTTTTGATGATCGTAGCGAAAGCTTCTGAAATTTAAAAAACGACATTGATTGCATAAGATGGGTGCGTTGGCGAGGAATGTATCCATTAAAAAAACTGCAGGCTCACAGTCTGAAATGCAACGGTGGCCAACTTATTTGTGCAATTTAGACCGAGTGAAGGAGTTTGTCTGCAAGTTTTGATCGTCGAAACAAGAAATGAGTTAATATCCGGAGCTTCAGACTTTTATTTTTGTTGTCGCCGTGGTATCAACGCGGGTGTCGATATCTTTTGATCTGTACTAGTATCATATTGAAGTTTAAAGTTCTGGTATTCTGATGACCCGAGGAGAGCAAAGAATAGCCAGTCAATGACCCGTGACATCGCTGAGCATCACTTTAACGTCGAGGTTCATTAAAGGTCAGAAAGGAGGATTATTTTCTGTTTTATGAAGGACAAGAATACTTTTGCAACTGCAGTTTAAAATAGAATTGTCTGATATTTGAACTGATCCCTAATCGTGTTTTTACGTCCCGTCTTACCTCAGGAGTCTCCGCCCCCCTCCTCTCTGACAGGGAAAGTCTCCTGCTGTGAGGTGCATGTGTGAACAGATGAGGAGAATCTCTGGAGCAGTCCTCCTGATATGATCTCGATATTTTCAGGAGTGCATGTGTGAAAACAGAGAATTGGTAAATAAGAAGTTTGAAGATGTTTGTAGCAGCAGGTGTATAACGAGGTCGTTCATCGGTTAGAAAGGTGGATTCTTTTCAGTTCCTTCCAGAGAGCAGCGGCATGTTTTTGGAGCGTGAATGAACGCTGCCTGCCAGAAAGAGATGTTGTAGTTGATGCCTGACTGGGTTTGTTTCTTAGTTTTACTCAAATAATTAAAGTGTACCCTCGTTCTAAATGATTAACGCGTCAGTAAATATGGTCAGTGAACTTTATGGAGCCGTAAATTATCCGTCGTATCAGGTGACCACGGGGGGGGGTTGCACATATTTCAAGCCACCTGTCAATTTTTAGTGTCTGAGAGCGAAATCGATGCCAGAAGCTTAGGTGAAGAAGAAGTCTGCCAAAAGTCTCCAAACGGAGCTTAAGAGATTTTCCGAGGCGCCGTGTTTGCAGTCGTGGTTGATAAACAGGCCAGGAGAGGCGACAGCAGGGGCTGAGGAGATTCTTAATCCGTCCCCCTTCTTCCTACTGGTTCTCCCTCTCTGTCTCTCACCCTCCCTGCGTGCTGCCTCATCACACGGCGTCGGCGTCGGGCTCTCAGCGATGCGTCCGCCTCAATGAGTCCAGAACAAACGCTCTGCAGGAAGCTTTATCTTCATATCGCTCAGAGAAGATCCACTGCCCTGATGAGGTTACCTCCACCTGATTTAAGAGTATTAAAGAGGACATGTCATCCCCCCTCCTCCACCTTTTCAAACAGTCCTCCTCCACCTTTTCAAACAGTCCCCCTCCACCTTTTTAAACAGTCCTCCTCCACCTTTTCAAACAGTCCCCTCCTCCACCTTTTCAAACAGTCCCCTCCACCTTTTCAAACAGTCCCCTCCTCCACCTTTTTAAACAGTCCTCCTCCTCCACCTTTTCAAACAGTCCCCTCCTCCACCTTTTCAAACAGTCCTCCTCCACCTTTTCAAACAGTCCTCTCCACCTTTTCAAACAGTCCCTTCCTCCACCTTTTCAAACAGTCCCCTCCTCCACCTTTTCAAACAGTCCCCTGTGGTCTAAATGAAACATCTGTTCTGTGCTTTGGTCAAAATATAACATGAATCAAACACCAGAGGAGGTTTGTGACCCTGTAGAAACCAGCCGACCTGCATTAAAGTTTTGTTCTAGTCTATGGGTGGAGATATCAGGGGAGCGGATGGGATTGTTTTTTTTTACCAGAATCCCACTGTGACATCACAAGGAGAGCACATTAGAAACAGAGCATTTTTCTCTGTGTTGTAAGACTTATGCAGACCACAAACAAAGGACTGGATGGTTTATTTCACATGTTGTGGGTCAGTAGACTCTCAGGTTACCCAGATATATGTTCACAAACACTTTTCATAATATGTCCCCTTTAATAATAGTGCATATCGTTGGCTAACGTTAAACTCTCTGCCAGTACAGCAGTGTTGTTGTTGTTGTTGTTGGTTATCTGCACATAATTGATCTGAAGATGGAGATGCTTTTGAAAAATGGAGAGAGGTTAGAACACAGAAAGGTTTACGGACCCATGCAGAGCTGGATAAACACTGAAGCTTCAGGGTCTAATGATGATTAGAATCTGGACTGCAGTACAAAGTTCTTTCTTGCGATGGTTATCATTTTATGAACTAGATATCTGACACATTGCTCCTTTAATGAAACTGATATCGTTACTGAAGGTTAAAACTTCTAGCTATAACTCTATCATAACTTCCTCTCTGTGGTTTTTGAGGATTTGTCGTTTTCTAAATGCGTCGTCTCAACACCTCAGATTCTTGTGTGTCCGGCGCTGTACTTCATGTGTCACTACGAGTGTTTGAATCCCGCTCAGCCGTTTATAGAGCGAGCGAGCGAGCGGCCTATGTGGGACAAAAAAGTACATCTCGATTTTATTTATTGGCAGCACATCACATCACTTGAAGCAAGCGGAATATGGGTCATGATCTGATATAAAAAGGCTCCTCAATAATTCATCCGAGCTTATTAGGACGACTTGTATCGACGCAGACGGCGTCCGCGAGCAGAGGACGGGCGTACACATCGACGTGAGCAACATTTAGACTCCTTTGTGGGATTAGAGCGAGCTAGGAAACAAGCAAAAGCGAGCGTCCTTTGATGTTTTAATCTACTCCACGTTCATGTGTGGACGCCGCGTGTTCATGTGACCAGGGGGTGTGTGTGTGTGTGTGTGTGTGTGTGTGTGTGTGTGTGTGTGTGTGTGTGTGTGTGTGTGTGTGTGTGTGTGTGTGTGTGTGTTTGTTTGTGTGTGTGTGTGTGTGTGTGTGTGTGAGAGAGGAGCATCCAGCTATTAAATATGAAAAGTGCAATCTGTTACCCTGCAGAGAGTTTTTTATTATTCATCGACAGATTTCAATTAATCATTCATTTACCTAAAGCCCGGCTCGCGCTCTCACACTCTCGTGGACCGGAGCGACGAGTCCTGAATAATCTGGATTATTAGAAGCTGTTTATTATTATTCTTCTGATCTGACTCGTACTGTAGTGTGACGGTTTGTTGGGGGATGAACGCAGAGACAATTTAGTACTACAGTACATTCTGAGGAAATGTTTTATTTATCCACAGTGTGCTGGATTCTCCTCAATCACACACACACACACACACACACACACACACACACACACACACAGTTTACTGAAGACAATGTGAGATGCGTTTAAACCAATTATGAAGGAAGACGCTTTGTTTCTGTGGATTGTGAGTGTCAAAAATAATAAGTGGAAAGAACGCTTCATGCAGATTTTTTAAGATTCTAAATCCTCCTTGTGTAATCTCATTAAGTCGTTCCAGGAGAAGCAGGCCGGAGATAGCGCGTCCATGCCAAAGCGTGCAGTATGGTTTATTCAGAGTCTGTCTGACCAGCCTCTAACCCTCTGTCCTCTCTCTCCCCTCTCTCTCTAAAACACAGAGAAACAAGCAAACGTCTCATCGGAGGAGCGAAGGGGAGAACGGATGTGAAGCTGCTCCTGTGGAGTACAGTCACCTCCAAAGTGCTGCTCCCCCCTTCCCCCCACCGCCCCCCCACCCGACGCATCCAGGATTTTACCTAAAACTGCTGTGAGTCCGCTCATGTTGCATTGACACCTACAAACACAACATCCAAAAAACAGGAAGCAGAAGCAGAGACGACGTGCTCGCTTCTTGTTGTCAAAAGTCAGATTGTTCTTGTTTATTCTTTTCTGTGTCGTAACGCGTTCTCTGGAAACACGAGCGTTGACCTTAGAGGGAGCGATGGGCTCAGCTGTGCGCGGCGCTGACCCAACACGGCGTGCAGGGATTACCTCTGCCAGCATGAGTGCATAAAAGAGAGAGATGGCCCCGCCCATTCAGGAGCTGTGTTTCTAAGGGTGCGACGTCACACTCAAGTTTACCACGTTCCAGATTTTAAGTCGGACAAACAACATGGACGCCTCCAGGAGAATCTTTGTTGTGTTAGCTGATAACAGACGATAAGGACACACTACGGGATAGTTTGCAGGCAGAAAGAACACGGCAACACGTCCACAGATAAAACGCACACGATACTATCGCGGTTCTCTGAGTTTCAGACTTCAGGGGAGCGTCCCTGATGACGTATCGGACTGGGAACTCAGACTTTTTCTGAACACCTACGACCTTAATGATGATGATGGTGACGATGATATACAGGATGGTTTAGATGCTGATTAGAACTCAAGAACATTTGAGTCACTTCCTGTCAGCACCTCTAGTCACTTCCTGTCAGCACCTGTGTGTCCAATCAGACTTAAAGAAGCTCATTTACACTTCCTGTCGTTTGTTGCTCTCGTTAAAAGCGTCTGATGAGTGAATTGAATTATTTTTAAAAACCTTGCAGCACATTTGTCCTTGTAGGCCACCGTACAAAGATTATGATTTGTTGAGGTGATAAAAGCTCATCAACACACCTCTTCTCTATAATCTCTCCTCCTCGATCTCGTATGTTCCTCTTTTTTGCATCGACAAACCCTCGCACACCTAACGAGGCTTTCCCCGCTAGCGAGAAGTTATTCAATGAATCACGACGACTCGAGCACGTTCTCTCCCGTGCAGCTGGTTGGAGTGACGCCTGGAAGTGATGCAGGGTTAGTTTCCTCCCATGGATGTTTTAGACTCATTTCTGAGTTAATTAAACTCATCTTTCTATTAATTACCTGAGAATGTTGACAGGTGGGATTATTCCAGCTGATTAGTTCTGCCTGAGAGCACCGAGTGGAAGGACGAGCAGAGAGCGAGGGAGAGGATTTCAGAGAGAATTTTGGCAGCGTTCAAAAAACAATTGGTCCAGGAACGAAGACTTCAAGTTAACAAAAAACTTGTCATACAAAGTTTAACAGGCGTAACAAGTTAAGATGTTTCTGTGCAACTTCAATAACAAAGAAATTAAAAAGCAAACAAACATTCACATTAATTTTTCTCTTGTTTTGAAGGTCCAGTCAGTGAGATGTGTAGAGAGTGAGATGATAAAGGTATCTTACTCTCTGATCATTAAGGAAACATGCTATGTTGAAGTGCTGGCTTCTCTGACAACAATGCAGCAGCCAGTATGTCCTCCTTCTAACTTTAGATTCTGCTCCTGAATGCTCTGGAGCCGTTTGGAGCCGTTTTGGACGCCCCTCGGTTTGTCAGATATGAGAGCAGTTATCAGGTCAACAGGTGTTGCAGTGATGGAAGCGGTCAAGAGAAGTGGTTCAGATAGAAGTGATTGTACCCGACCTAAAAAGCCTCTGCATGTTTCTAATAAGCTCCACGAGCAGAAACGTGCTCAAACTAGGATCAATATTGGAGATGCTTTTGAAAAATGGAGAGAGGTTAGAACACAGAAAGGTTTACAGACCCATGCAGAGCTGGATAAACACTGAAGCTTCAGAGTCCACCACATGGTGACCTGAGTGAGCATCCACTCTAGAGAGGAGGGGGGGGGGGGACAGCTCTCTATGATGTTTAGAATTTAGACTGCAGTACCCATTTTAACTACTAGGGGTCAGAGCTACATACTGCTCCTTTAAAGCTCCTTTTTTTGACTGTTTATGAAAATGACTGAAATGAACACAGATGTCTCTTTATGATTGATAAAAGCAAACCAAACCTTCATCGACAATATTAAACATTTCTATAAAGTTATTTTTAATTCTCGTAAACACTGCTGCAGGGTGTCTCATGAGACCTTTGACATCACAGACCTGAGATTCTTCCAGCATATCTGGAGGAGTTTTCAGCTCATGTTAGCGTACAGCTTCTGCAAACAATCAATACTCATGCTGTGCTTTCTCTTGTGTTGGCTGTAGTTGAGCCTCCCTCAGTCTGAGGCTATGAGAGGGAGAGAGGAGTCCCAGGCTGTACCATCATGCTAATGAACACAGATGTCTCTTTATGATTGATAAAAGCAAACCAAACCTTCATCGACAATATTAAACATTTCTATAAAGTTATTTTTAATTCTCGTAAACACTGCTGCAGGGTGTCTCATGAGACCTTTGACATCACAGACCTGAGATTCTTCCAGCATATCTGGAGGAGTTTTCAGCTCATGTTAGCGTACAGCTTCTGCAAACAATCAATACTCATGCTGTGCTTTCTCTTGTGTTGGCTGTAGTTGAGCCTCCCTCAGTCTGAGGCTATGAGAGGGAGAGAGGAGTCCCAGGCTGTACCATCATGCTTCTTCTGAGACGCTGGGATGAGACTTTGGCTGGCAAAACACAAGGTAAGAAAAACATCGATTTCCACGTTTCCTCATGTTGTCTCTGCAGAGAATGAAAACACAAAAACAGGCCGTGCTGTCTCACCTGGGTGTGTTTGTGCGCCTGTAGCCTCTGTGTGTGTGTGTTGTCTCTCCTCGAGCTCGGTGATGGATGGTCAGTAAACTTTCAGACACTTTATTTGCTTCACCAGATTCTTCTGGAGGGTGATGTGAAGGGTTGAAGGTGGAGCCTGCAGACGTTTGGTTCCTGATGTTTTAGCACAGTTTGCACTTTGATCAGCTGCTCACCTGACCCCGCTCTTATTGACTATCAGGCTCATCTGCATGGCTCTACAGGCATCGATCAGGCAATTAAAGGATTTGTCCAATGAGATTTCTGTGGCAGATGTGAGAAGTGGCAGCTGGGTGCGAGTGCTTTGTGCGATGAGATAAAAGAAAACATCATTCTCTCTCTCGTCCCGGCACCAAATTACACAGAGAAAGTGTATTTCGCCACGAGGGCCCGATGAGAGGCCATTATCATATCAGCACATTCCATCGCCTCCTCGTACATTCATCTCCTCGCTCCATGGTGCAAAGAGGCTTTCTTCAAATTTCACCTTTTCCCTCCCTCCATTTTTCTGTTTTCATCTCATCCCATGCTCCGTAAATCAAAGCCGCAACGTTTAAGTGACTGAGCTTTGGTGCAGAGGAGGAGGAGAGGAGGAGGAGGAGGAAGAGGAGGAAGAGGAGGAGGAGGAGGAAGAGGAGGATGTGGTTACTCCTCTTCCTCGGAGCAGCAGAGCGACTCTCCCTCTCTGTCATAAAGAAGCTCTTCATCCTCTTCGTCTGTCGTTTGCTCAAAGTCACACAGCTTCCTCGGCTGCTGCTGACGCTGCACTTCTCCTCACAGCGACGTCACTGAACATTTCCATTACAATGAATTAGTGAAGACGCTGCATCTCATTAAAAACCCGCTCCACCTTCATCGGCGTTCATCCTTTACAGCTCCGCATTATTAGTTTAATTTATTGGAGAGCAGCGAGCCTCCACACGGCCTGAAGAACGACTCAAATGAAGATACATGAGAATAATAATGTTCACACGAGCTTTATCTCTAAACCATGTTTACCCAAATGTAATTTACCCCCCCCCCCCCCCCCTAATTATATCACCACCTCTCGCTGCCATTAATTAAGTGAGGCGCTAATGAATCAGTCCAATCCAATTAACAGCAGACCCTCATTTAGAGCCCACCTCCTCCTGCACCCCCACCGCACAACCAGAGACGATACTGAAGACTCATTTCACCGGCCGATTGAACGCTAACTTTCATTTAATTTCATATTTGATTTATTTGCTCATTTCAGTGTTTGGTTTCAACACAATAAAACACAACAAGAAATGTTTTCTCATAATACTGAAATGAGCAAACAGGAGCAGGAAGAAGAAAACCTATAATACCTGCCCCCTTTTCCTAACAACACAAGAAACTGTTTAACAATTCAATTCAATTCAATTTTTCAATTCAATTTTATTTGTATAGCGTCAACTCATAACAAGTGTTATCTCAAGACACTTTACAAAAAGCAGGTAAAAGACCTTACTCATTGTTATGTTACAAAAAGAGGAGAAGAGAGGAGCCTGATAACTGAAGGCTTTACCCCCCATAGTACACTTAGAGACTGTAGGTACCACCAGCAGGCCTGCACTCCGGGACCGCAACGCTCTCGAGGGACAGTACGGCACCAGTAGCTCCTTCAGGTAGGATGGTGCCTGGCCATTTAGCGCTTTGTAGGTGAGAAGAAGGATCTTGAATTCTATTCTAGACTGTATAGAGAGCCAGTGCAGAGAAGCCAGGACAGGAGTGATGTGGTCCCATTTCCTGGTTCTCCTCCTCGTTTTATCTGACTTCCTCAAAAGTCTGCTACCGCTGCGTTCTTCTGCCGAGTCGGCCGACGTGCTCCTGCGTTTATTTTTGGAAGATAATTCATAATTGACACCATTCCTTCTTTCTTCCTGTTTTCTTTTTAATGGAAAGGGAAAGGTTTTTTTTTTCTTTTCCTTCGACTGTGTTTTAAGAAATGGGAGCAGCCCGAGGAGCCGGGGAGTTAGGAGGCTTTTGATGAGGAGGAGGAGGGAAGGAGGGGAACAAGGAGAGGATGGGAGGAGAGGGAGTGTTTGGGGAGTTGAGGATAGAGAATGCAGATGTGTGTTTTTCTCCTGAAGACAATGACTTCTGATGTGTGTGTGCTGAGTTCTGTCTCTTCTGTTGTGGCAGCAGAATCACACAGCAGGGTGTCGTTCTGTCTCATTACCTCACACTCATGTATGGAAACGTTTCAGGCATGTTTCCCTTTGTGATGAATTCAAATCATGAAGTTCAATCCAGGCGTTAGTGGTGTTTAGGTAATCTCGTAATTGAAGAGGTTGTAGGATGCAGCAGCAGAATGAACGAGTGTAAATGCAAATTTCAACATAGTATATGCACGCCGTGCTTTGTCAGGGCGTCGCATTACAGCGGCATTCACTGCCATGATCTTGTAGTTCTCTTGTGATCTTGTAGTTCTCTTGTGAACTTGTAGTTCTCTTGTGAACTTGTAGTTCTTCTGTGATCTTGTAGTTCTCTTGTGATCTTGTAGTTCTTCTGTGATCTTGTAGTTCTCTTGTGATCTTGTAGTTCTCTTGTGATCTTGTAGTTCTTCTGTGATCTTGTAGTTCTTCTGTGATCTTGTAGTTCTTTTGTGATCTTGTTGTTCTTCTGTGATCTTGTAGTTCTTCTGTGATCTTGTAGTTCTTCTTGTGATCTTGTAGTTCTCTTGTGAACTTGTAGTTCTCCTGTGATCTTGTAGTTCTCTTGTGATCTTGTAGTTCTTTTGTGATCTTGTAGTTCACTTGTGAGCTTGTAGTTCTCTTGTGAACTTGTAGTTCTCCTGTGATCTTGTAGTTCTCCTGTGATCTTGTAGTTCTCCTGTGATCTTGTAGTTCTCTTGTGATCTTGTAGTTCTTCTCTGATTCTGTAGTTCTCTTGTGATCTTGTAGTTCTTCTCTGATTCTGTAGTTCTCTTGTGATCTTGTAGTTCTCCTCTGATTCTGTAGTTCTCCTCTGATTCTGTAGTTCTCTTGTGAACTTGTAGTTCTTTTGTGATCTTGTAGTTTTCCTGTGATCTTGTAGTTCTCTTGTGATCTAGTAGTTCTTTTGTGATCTTGTAGTTCTTGTGATCTTGTAGTTCTCCTGTGATCTTGTAGTTCTCTGTGATCTTGTAGTTCTCCTCTGATTCTGTAGTTCTCCTCTGATTCTGTAGTTCTCCTGTGATCTTGTAGTTCTCCTCTGATTCTGTAGTTCTCTTGTGATCTTGTAGTTCTCCTCTGATTCTGTAGTTCTCCTCTGATTCTGTAGTTCTCTTGTGATCTTGTAGTTCTCCTCTGATTCTGTAGTTCTCCTCTGATTCTGTAGTTCTCCTCTGATTCTGTAGTTCTCCTGTGATCTTGTAGTTCTCCTCTGATTCTGTAGTTCTCCTCTGATTCTGTAGTTCTCTTGTGATCTTGTAGTTCTCCTCTGATTCTGTAGTTCTCCTCTGATTCTGTAGTTCTCCTCTGATTCTGTAGTTCTCCTGTGATCTTGTAGTTCTCCTCTGATTCTGTAGTTCTCCTCTGATTCTGTAGTTCTCTTGTGATCTTGTAGTTCTCCTCTGATTCTGTAGTTCTCCTCTGATTCTGTAGTTCTCCTCTGATTCTGTAGTTCTCCTCTGATTCTGTAGTTCTCTTGTGATCTTGTAGTTCTCCTCTGATTCTGTAGTTCTCTTGTGATTTTATAGTTCTCCTGGGATCTTGTAGGCTTATTGGCAGTAATTTGTTTAATGCTTGAAGTATTTGGACCGTAGGATCTCATGTTTAAAAGCTTGACCTGAAAACACATCTCAGGTCTCTGTGGCGACATTAATTGGGTTGCAATCAGCTGATCAATAGAGCTTCAGTCCTCAGCAGCGCCGACATAAGTCACCTGGAAAAAGGAGCCTGCAGATCGGCTCATTAGCTGAGCGCTGCACCTCCAACGTTTGCTTTGGTGGCATCTGTTATTTTCTGGCACGTGCTCAGATGCTGCTGCGAGGAGGCTTCAGGTGCCGTCAGAGTTTGTGCTCCAGTTGTTGATCTGATGCCGGAGTCCTGTACAGGAACTCAACCCATGATTTATACTCACTGGTCACCAACACACATGTACGGAGGCCCAGAAGGGACGATGGAGCAGCTTTACTTATACCCTGGATAAATACACACACTGTTTCTCAATGTGTTGAAGTGTGTTTTTATTTGTATTTATTATTTGTTTGTGACCATATCAGCACATTACTCGGGCCTGAAGCTTCGTTCAGGTCTGTGAGCAGCTGTGTGTTGACTTTTTGTTTTCCGGCCTAACCCGGAGGTTGTGCTGTCGAACCGGGTGAATGATTTGTGTGTGTGTGTGTGTGTGTGTGTGTGTGTGTGTGTGTGTGTGTGTGTGTGTGTGTGTGTGTGTGTGTGTGTGTAAGCCACAGGTCAGCTTTTTACACAGCCACGATCGACAGGAAACTCTTGTGCTCATGCCTGGAGGACTAACAGTGCAGAGTGTCGGGAGGATTGCAGCAGAATGCTAAACCAAATGTTGTCTCTATGTGAGCTCTGCTGCAGCTCG